TCACAGAAAGGCCAAGCCCAACACTGATCAGTAAGCACTGACCAAGCACCTTGCCCTTCTCGGCCTGTATTCAGTCTGACTTCACCACCGAGAGGCAGCTGTGCCTCGAGATCAGTAACCCTCGCCCCRGGGGTCCCTAAGCTGTGAGATGCAGGGCCAGAGGGTGCAGAGCAGGCAGGGCACAYTGTGCAACGGCCAAGCTGCTCTCAGGACACGGTGAGGGGGCTGYCCAGCCTGGCGGGCTGAGGGTGCTTCGGCAGGGTTATTCCTCTGCTGTTTGTACCTTTAAAAGTTAACAAGTACCACCTGCAACTACTAAAAAGAAAAACAGTGACTCAAAGAAAAAAGGAAATTACTTCGTAGGTGACCTTGCACAAGCCAAAGACCSTGCAGGGAAACGGGGTCTCTGGGAAGAGGAAGAGCTGTGTATGGAACCCGGAGACCGAGTCCCTTTCTCTGAGGACACAGCCTTGTGGATACTGCACTGGATTCAGAARCAAAGGACACCAGAGGTCACAGACACCCCCTGGGGCGGAGGTTGACAGATCCATTGCAACGACTGGGCCCAGAAGTGAATACGGCTCCAGAAGAAGTCTCAGATCTGGACAGCACCTCCACCATGGGTCCCAAGGCAAGCTGAGCTGAGACACGCCCCATCTGTTCCTGCTTCCTGCAGTCAGAGAGGCTGCCCGGCTCCTGTATCCCAGGCTAAATAAACCTTCAGCAAAGTCCACCCGTGGGGGTGGGAGAGCCTCCTTCCATCAGCCCTGAACCCCTCAGCCCACATGATTCCATATGCCCTCTCCCTTGTTTCTTGCACTCTCCCTACAAACTGAGTCACGCCTGGAAAACTCTATTCCAGGCGAATTTCATAATTCATGGAGAAAGAGCAGCAATATAGTAGTCAACTTTTCCCCACCCTGGAGAAACCTCGAGGACATACAGCATTGTACAACGAGGTGATAACAAGTGGGACTTCCAYTCCAACTCACTATGTTCGGAGGGTTGCAGTGTTAAGGATGCAGCCACCAACCAGATGCCCACACGGATTGAGTTAACCTGGCACAGAGTCCTGGCAAAAAGCACTCCTGCCCTTGACAAGCAGAAACAGAGACAGGTGCCCAATTCCTGAGATGACTCAGAAAAGAGTGAAAATGTAACAATAARGTACTTTACTTATAATAAAACACTCTAAAGTAACAAAAGTATATATTTATATATTTTTAATTTATATAAACTTTCTCTGAAGGAGCACAGAAAAAAAAACAWACAATGTACAACCTACTCCACAGAGAATATTATGACTCTGAATTCTTGAATTCAAAAGCAGAAAGAAAGATGGAAAGAGGAAGAAAAGGAATGATGGAGGAGAAGAAGGAAAGAAGGAGAGAAAGTGGGAGGGAGCCCGGTTTTCCCTGTGAATTTCTGAACAGAGAAATGTCTGCACACTATCGCTCGTGTGTTTGAGCTCCGACCTGACCAGCTGCGTGTTGGGGAAAGAAACYTCGATGACCTGTCATCCCTAGATCAGGCAACCAGGACTTCCAGGGTCCATCCAAGGCAGGGAGCTGCCACAGACAGGAGCAAACACCGAGGTGAACGATACCTGGAGGTCAGGACCAGGAGGCATCCTTAGCTGCGAGGCCTGATATGTCCCAAAATCCGTCCTTGGTTATCCTGTTGTTGTTTGAAAGACGATGCATCAAATTTCAATCCTCAAGTTTGTACCAGTGCGGTGCCCACAAAGCCCTTAAGAAACCATGTCTCAGGGCTGGGGCTGTAGCTCAGCGGCAGAGCGTTTGCCCAGCATGTGTGAGGCACTGGGTTCGATCCTCAGCACCACATAAAAATAAACAAATAAAATAAAGGCATTCTGTCCATCAACAACTTAAAAAAAAACATGTCTCTTAACGGTCCCTAATAATGTTTTGTGTTAATCCACAATTTGACATATGGGAATGCTCACTACTGTGAAAAACGCATTCCGCATTCCACACRGCGGTTCATGTATGGTAAAGACGCACACTTAAGTCAGTTACCAGTTGGGTACGCCTGTTCTTAAGCAAGCCAGGGAACATCTCCACTAACCAGATACACAGCCACAAGACTCATCATTCCACGTCACCCGACATAAAAGCCAATAGGAGGAATTAATCCACAAGCAAACGGGTCGATACAGAGGCCAGATGCCGACCCTGCAAAGCTTCACAGAGATGAAACCTGATCAGGTGCGCAGAAATGAGTGATGTGAATTTCCAACCTCCYGTGGGAATCCCTGCGAGTCACCAGACGGAGACAATTTTTCAACACAATTCAAAGAGCTTCCTAATTTCAGTAAAACTCTGCTAAAGAAAGGCACTAACCTGAAAACCCTAACTTGGCTCTTAAAAACTCCGAYCTCATCCCACCAACTGCAGAATGCCGGTAACTGCAGGCATCTGGGACAAGTGCACTACAACCTCTCTCCCCCCAGGTTCAAAATCAGAGAGATGGGACCAGACGCTGCAGTGGGTAGAGCACATCCAGCTGCTCATATGGAGCTCACAGAGAAGCAGTTTAAACCTTTAGAYGTGAACGAAGAGTTTGCTCAGACTTCACCCAGAGGATATGGTACTCGGTTGTACCTATGTCGCATACTCACAGAGAATGGCCCAAGATTCAGCACTTTATGGTTTTGCTTTCAGTCATTGGCTTCACAAAATTGTGCTGACTTAACTATAAAAGGGAAGATAAAAGCCCAGATTTCCCACATGTGTATTTCTATAATAAATATCTCAGTATTTTCACACACACACACAGAGCTGTTGAAGATACATAAACTACTTGTACAAAGCACTGAGACTTAAGCGTCTGAAGCAATCACGTACAGGGAAATTCTACATGGAAATTCGACTTGCCTTTCATAGTACATCACCTTACATGGATGCAATCACCTCTTTCTATTCTGCCCTTCGCTTAACGGCATTAAAACTCATCTAAACAGCTAAACAAACCACCCAGCTGGTAAAACCAAGGACTTTCTGTTTTCATTTATATGACACACTTCACCAGTTCACATATCAAAGTCTTAAAAACACAAAATTTAAGTAGAAATAAAATCTATTCAGCATGAAATCAAATTCATCAATTGCTCATTTTTTGGTCATACGATGTGTCCCAGTTTTCACCGTTTCTTTGTGTTTGTGACATTCACAAACTCTGAATAGGGGCTCACAGCTCAACCCAGGACGGCCAGGACACAGCATCGTGAAGGAAAAAAATGGGCAGATTATTTACATTTATTTAATGCAGAATAGTTTTGCGAAATCACATCTTAAACACTTAAAAATGTCACCTTTTTAAATGATATGGAAATGGTGTTTCCATACACTTGTATTTGGGCAAATTTCTCCTGTATCACAAGCAAAGGTCGTGATAGGAAAACGGACTTCAATGTGATATATTTTAATACAGCATCAAACAGAACCTTCAAATTGGCTATAAACCACAATGAGCTCAAATTCACTTCATCTCCTCTCCTATTTGCTCTTCAAATTTAAAAAAAGTAGATCATAATGAATAAAATGGACATATTTCTCCATATCTCGTTGCTATTTAATTCTTGTTAGTTTAAATACCCTAAGATATGCATAGAACAACTGTGATTCTTGCAAACATGAAACCACATAAATCTTATATCTATAAAACCTTAAGAGTGTCAGTTTTCATCCAAGCAGAACTTAAAATTCATGGCATAATCAATTCCAAAGCAAAAACCTTATTTTTTTACTTGACAAGAAAAGTGAAATATCCCTTGTGGTGACAATATCCAGAATGTCAATCACATCTCAGCAAAATTCTTAAAATTCCATGGGAAGCAGTTTGGATCCTTTGGGCCCCTAAGGAAGTTTCAGTTGACTTCTCTATCAAGAAATTCACACACACACAAAAAAAAAAAAAAGAAAAAGAAAAAGTAAATTCCACTACTGTCACAGCATTTTAAAAGACTCTGCAAATAAAAAATAAACAGACTTTAAAGTTGTTGTTGAAGAATCCTTTCGGTCCCTCCTGGGAAGGATCACCTGCGACTTCCCGATTGCACCACATCATCTGTTTGCTTTAAGAGTAAACTTTAAACACAGAGATTGCTGCTTCTGCTCCCAGGAATGAACCCAAAGACCAACAGTGAATCACCGGTGCGTAAAGTTCACATTGTTTGTTGAACAGGAACACTTGGGACTCTTCAGAAAGAATCAATTAGGTGAATGGGGGGGAGGTAAAAATTAGAAAGTAAGGAAGTTCCACTGCCGGTTTTCCTTTTAACTTTCCCTGAACCCATCATCCCCAAAATTGAAATGTTTATCATGAAGCGAGGGGTGTCTCCCCATGGGAGGTGGAAGACACATGGGAGATGCAAACTATTCTTAGACCTGTTACGACTTTCCTGAGTAATTAGGAAGCTCTATGTCCCCGACAGAATGAGGCTAACGAGCTCCTGCCGTCTCTACTCTAGCAAGAAATCAAAGAGACCCAAAGCAGGGGACTCAGTTCAGTAAAAGGATTACACAGCCTGGCTATTATGGAGCCGAAAGCTCGCCCACCACTTTGGACCCGCAGACCCTTCCTAAGAGTTTCGACAGGCAACGAACGTGACTAAATGAAAAAGAAGACTGCAGTATGCCGTAGAAGGTCYGTATCTGACAAGGGGGAGCCTGGGCAAGTTATTAGATGATGCCCGGTTCAGATAACGTTCAGGTTTTGAAACTTTCCCCAAAGAAAGACCGGGAGGAGGTTCTTCTAAGGAACACCTGCTCCTGCCTGGGACTCCTGCTGGAATGCTGCCTATGGAGGGTCCCAGTCGGTGTCACCCTTCTTTTGAAAGACAAAGGCATGTCGGAACCCACGGAGGTGACACTTACAAGTACCACTTTGATGATCGGATAAAAACTGAGGAGTGAAAAATCCAGAAAACGGGAAAAGGAGGAGGTCTGGGTCCCTCCGCAAGCATGACGCGCACCTACCTTGAGGACTTCCATGGGCACCTGGGTGGCAGAGGGAAGGGCTGTGGGCGCGCTGACGTTGATGGCTGGTGTCTGGCTCGCGGGCACTCTCTGCTGCAGGAACTGGGCCGCCTGCAGCTTTTGCTGCTGCTCTCTGCGCTCCTGCTCCTGCATCTGTTCACGCATGAGCTGCTGGCGTAGCAAGATGCGTGATGTCATACTGGACGAGCTTATCGGAGGCTTGGAGGCCCCGGGATGCTCCGCAGAACTGCTGTGGGGAGACCAAAAGGCACACGGCACTTAGTTTCCTAATGAGACCCCTTGTTTGCATTTTGGGGTGTCCTAAATGGCACCACACTGCAAAATGAGCCTGCGCGAATATAATCAAGTCCTACACGACGGTACTCCACATAATTGAAAATCAAGAGGTGACAGGATTTGAGTCATCAGTAGTTGAATTAAAATAAGTCGGCTTGATTGCATCTAGGCATTTCTATGAAGCTGATTAATTTTTTTTGACATTTTATACCGCACACCCTTCATTCCACCAAATATAGTGCCGCCATATGCATTTCCAAGGAGCCATGTATCTTGATGGCACCCCAGACCCCAGATTCAGACACAAATTGCTTGCTTTGCTTTTTTAAATAATAGAATCTAGCCAACTACTCAGAGATGCCTCAAAATACCTTGAGGATGTCTAACCTGTTTACTAAGAAGGAACTATTCAAGGAAAGGTGAGCTTTATCGTGGGGAAACAGCTCTCTGATAGTTAATGAAAGAAGCAGGTGGACGAGAACGTCACCCCTGAGCTCGGCCCCAAGTGGACCGGGGAGCAGGAGACGAGCCCCGTTCTTGTCACAGCTTCCTCGGGGCCCCTTTTCTTCTGCTCTTTCTTGGTGTGTCCGCTGCTTTGCGTGCTCTGTGTGTCCTGCTACTAAGGGTCCGGGGCTCCCTGAGTCGAAATTATTTACCATGTTAAACTCTCGTCCTAAGAATTAAAGACCCCACCCCAAGTTTCCCACTTTGGGTCTGCAGCTGCCTTGCCTTGACAGCTCTGTGACACTGACGAGTGGTCACACCCATCTCCGCCTTAGTGACTGCCCCTGGAGTAGAGGGTGCATTGGAGCAGAAGGCACTGGCCGTCCTGCAGGGGCTGTGCCTGGCCTGCTCACGTCCACTTCATCGTTCATACTCCAGGCCCTGCCTCCTGGGGACTTTGTGGGATTAAATAAAACAACACACACAAATCCCTTGGTTCAATGGGTCCTTGGAGCACTGCTTCCCTGAACGTCTACTGTTGCTGTCACGTGGGAAATCTAACTATTTATTCCTTACGACAGGATTCCAAGACCCCGGGTTCAGGCAATTCGTATCAAACTTGGGAAACGTTGGAGTGACTATTCACCTCAGGTCAGCTCGTCTGGGGACACGTCTGTGCTGGCTCTTCCCTGCCTGGGTACAAACCCCAGCACTGCCTCYGCCTTCTCACCAAGGGCCGGCTGAGGCCTCCACGTCACTGACCCCCTGGGAAGTCGCAAAGGCAGAAGTTTCAGATCCRCAGGAGGCAGAACGTGCTGCAGCATGAGCAGGTGTCCCGAAAAATGTCACGGTCGACTGCTACCCCCAGTTTGCCAATTTACACCACGGGACAGACAAGCGGGCTGGCCGATGGGGACGGGGTCCTGCCGAGCTACCTCCTGCGGCGTTCACAGATAGTGCGGGAACGTTTGCTGATGGGACTGAATCTAGGCGACGTGATAAGGTTAGAAACACAGGTGGAAACAGCCCTTGAGGTAAGAGCCAACGTTTTAAATGTTCACCACAAGAAAAAGTGTGCGGATATGGTTCTGGGGGCCATGGCTGGTGAACACTACAAACCTTCAAGGAAAGGACCAAAGGTCATCCAGAAGCTCCACCATTGCTCCTTCAATTAGAGTCAGGGAGCTTGTCGCCAGACAGTTTTCCTTAAGTAAATGATTCCGATGTCAGCTTCCCATTTTCCTTCCATAAATGGGAAGCTGACACTATAGAGCTCCTTACAAACGCACGCTCTGCCAAATTRCCTAGATGTGCCCTGGAATCCGAGGATGAGTAAACCCTAACACATGAAGTCAAAAAAAACACGGCTTATTTTTAAAAAACGGCCCAACTACAGAGCAAAGTAGGAAATAGATGTGATAAAGAGTAAATTAGAAAGCAGGACTCAGGCGTACAGGATCTGGAGGAACCATGACGTGTGCTTGTGTGCGCGCACACACACACACACACACACACAGTGACCGCCAGGAACGTGACGGACAGTCATGGTGACCAGGCTGAGAGGGGAACTGCAGGTCAGTTTATTTTTCTTTAATTTTTATCCTCTAAACTACTAAGCCACGATATTTTGTTCAGTGGCAAAATACATGTCACTAGACACTGATTTAAGAATGTGAAGACCAAAGTCGTCATTTGGAGGAAGAAAGGACCTTGGATCCATCATCACAGAGGGGACAAGGGGATTGTGGCCAATACACTGTTTTCCTGGAAGTCTGTAGCATCCCAAAGATTTATACCCTCTTTCCTTCCTTGCCTTCCTAAGCCACAAATCTGTTCATTACTTTAATATCATGCACCCTTCTGCACCCTGAGAATGCTCCCGGGCTGTTCTACTCACTTAAAATAACCCAGTCACTGGCTGAGGCCCTACCAAAAGAGCATCAGAAGAGAATGTATTTTCCCTCCATTGAGTATGTACGTGTTCAAAGCTCAGTGTACTCTCCTAAGCTGAGAAAAGAAGGGAGAGGTATTTAAAAATTAAAAAAAAAAATAAAGAAGTAGTCTTACTATTCAAAGCCTGTCAGGTCCTGACATTCCCAGGGAGGCTGATCCTTTTGATAGAAACAGGAGCAAACCTTTGTGTGGTAGCAAATGCAGCTGTGGAATAATCGCACTAATTAGCTGCCCAGGACAAGTCATTGGCTGTGATACGGGGAGGAAAATCCTTTCAATTAACAGTAGAGCATTCCGGAGACAAATTAAAATCGCTAGTTACAAACCATATTAAGGCTGCATACTTGAAAGTCAACAATGTTACTTAAATCCCGTTCTCAAATATTCTCCTCAGAGGAAAGATGCACATCTAAGCAAGAGCCCGTACAAATATATGGAAACTCTATGAAAGAAAATAGAGCAAATATATTTTGTAGCTCAGCTCATTGACAGTGTTGACAAATTTTTCAGGATTTAAAAAAAAAAAAAAGTGCCAAGGAAGCATTAGTTCACTGCACACACACACACACACACACACACACACACACACACACCCTGCAAGGTGGTTGCTCTCCATCTTATGGAGATGACTGAATCTGTCATTGTCACCTCACAGACAGACATGAGGACAGCTCACGAGGACATCTGCGCATCATCACACCAGAGGGACGAATGAGCCCGGTGTTTTAAACTCAAAGCCGTGGTTTAGCTGAGGCTGTTCCAGGTGACGAGGAGGCTGATGCCAAAGCTTCTGATGACACACAAGGACAGATGTCCGAGTGCATTTGATTCTGAGTGAAATGAACCCGTCCGGGGCCCATGAATCTGAACCCTGCCTCCATAATCCTAATTCCATGAGTCTGATTCCTCTTAATCAGATTATGAAAAGGTCATTTATTCMACAAACAGTTTCAGCCAGGTGCTGGGAATACCTGGCTGCTAATCTCACGTTCTAAACCTTGGTTGCCTAATTCTGAGACGCCTGAACATCAAGTCAATTACCTTGATGACTGGGCTCTGATCTGGTTCCACGTGGGAAGGTATACGTCTCGCCTTCAGAAACCAAAGCTGGGCCCAGAGGCAAAGGCCCTGGGTGGCACTTCCCTGAGTCGCTGCAGCGGGATGTGCACCTCCCCTGAGGACAGGACCTGCTCCACGCTGACCCAAGGAGGACTCCAAGGCTCAAATTCCAGCCCACTCAATGCTGAGCAGTGCTGCTTTCCATGAGCCACTTAACCTCTCTGGTCTTCTCTAAAACCCACCTCCCGAGGGCACTGCAGGGTCACGTGAGCTAACTGGCTAAAGCAAAGGGCTCAGCACAGTGGCTGGAGAGCAGCAGAGTCCAGGAGTGGCCACTGAGCGCCACCGAGTTCCTGCCTCTACTGCTGAGTGTAGGTTTTTAGACTTCAACACCTCCTGCTTCTCTGCGATGGTATAGGAATATTGGACAGGGCTTCTGAATAAGCTGGCATAGTCCTAAATCCAAATAATTTATTCCACTGCCTTTATCAACAACCTCAACCTATCAGAAATTCCACAATGCCCCAGACCCCGGCTTCCCTGATCACCCCTCACCTGACGTGTGCCCATACCCCTTCATTCACCACGTAAGTCTGCTTTGGTCTCCGCATCACAATTCTCCATGTCAGGAATCTGGTCACTAAACCCAGAGAGGCTGTGGGAAGGGTGGGGCCTCTCCTGTGTCCCCCTCCTCGACCCCCTGGGCAGGGCACAGCTCTTCCACTGCTGACTATGACAGAGGCCCTGTCCGCCTGTCTTTTTGCACTTGGGTTTTCCTTATTAACCAAGAGCTTTTCAGTACACTGGCCCCTCGGCACTGTGGTGAGGACTTGGCTTTGTAGTAGATATAAAAAGCTTAGCACAGTGACTGGAAAAATTAGTGGTAAAAATTATATTAAGCCATGAACATGCTACTTCTTTTTGATAGAGGAAGCAATTAAAAAAAAAAAAAAGGCTTGGACCATGGAAGACATGTCTTTTAAAGGTCAGATGATCCCTGTTTAATTCTGAGAACTTGACAAAGCTTTGCAGGGATGGAGGAAGGAGGTGATTTCAGCTGCAATTTCTCATGAGCCCTAAAGTAGGAATCCCAGCATTTCCCCCAGTTAAAGTAAGCACAGGAGCATTGGGTTGACAGAGCGCCAACCAGCCTCGGCTCACACGGGGCACGCTGTGCTCATGACCAGGAAGGCACAGGGCAGAGGCTCTTACACACACAGTGCAGGGCACCAGAAGGCGCAGCAACCTCAGGCCCTGGTAGGAAGGCTGTCGAAGGAAGGCTAAGCCACAGGGGTTCCCAAGGACAAAAGGCTGCAATGTCCTCCTTGGCTGAGAGCTGTGTCTAAAATTAAATCTCCCAGTTCCATTCCTGCAGAATTCTGATTTCAGTTCAGGTGAGGCATCTTATCTACAAATTCTCTGCATCTTATCTGGTACGCAGCCTCGGGTAGAAACTAATAGCAAAACGTCCAAGATCCCAGATCTGTCTGGCAGGAG